TTGTTTGTGAAACACTGTGTTTGACTGGAAACTTTCAAATATGAATTTATCTTCCAACTAGTGCCAAACATGTAGGACTTCACACAAACTCAAGCAACATCATTCCACAGGGAACTGTATAATTCACAAAGGAATGTCCGCAAAGTTTCAACAGCTCTACCAAATTCTTCGAAAGAATTAGTGGAACTAATGACAAAAGAGTAGAAAAAACAAAGCCTATCTGTGCTTCAAGATTAGATATTAACTGGTCAAAATCTGTTCCTGGGATTCCTAGGCTACAGATGTAAAAGATAACCACCCTAGGAAGCAGCATGATGCATTACTGTCATTTGGAGAACCTCAAGTTGAAATATCCAACTGCGGAACAATGTGCTGTAAGACCAAAGAAATTACAAAGTAAAAATTCTCCTTGCTCTGGCCTTAATTTGCTTATGGGTCAGACTAATTAATGCATTTTCTAGGATTAGAAAATAAGCTATTATGTTAGTGGTATACAAAAAAATACTTCTAAGCAGCTACCAGCATGCAGTTCATATATAAACATTAAATGGAATTAAGAACATATAATCATTAGATTATAAAATTGGTCCAGTCTTATTAAATCAATACTTAAAAATTCTATTTGTTTCTACCTGCTGTAGAGGACATTAAGGCAAAATCAAGCTGTCCTGTAAGTCATATAGGTACGTTACAGATAAGATGGTTTCAAATACAGATACAAAAGCTTAAGTTAAATGAAGCAGCACCGTTGGATTATTGGACTTTAAGAAACACTTTTGTCAAAAGTACCAGCCAGAGATGAGCTGGTGCTGGCCACCATTGCCAACAGAAGTAAATATGAACACTTAATGTAATTATACTTTTCAGAAGATAAAGCAATTGGGTAATGCTGTTTACCATGATTATGGTTGTCAGCTTGCACAAAATTTCTTTTCTGAACCTAAAGAAAAAACAGATTTTTTTTCTTTAACCAAGCACCAATTAATTCCTCAGAGTTGGAAAAGTGCTGGTAACTTCATATGAAGTTTTAATTCATTTTCTGAACTCCTATGAGAATTTTGTATACACAATGCTTCCAACGTCTTAGATTTAGTGTAATGAATGAAATACTATAAAGGGGCAGAACACTCCAGTTCAAACAAAGAAGTGTGAATGAAATTCAAAGTCAGACAAGTCCAAAGGATTCCATAATATCAATTAAAATATATATAAACATGATATACTATCTCTATATACACATACCGTATAGAAATACTCTGTCTTATATTGTAGAGTGCCACATATGTTTTACCCCTATAGAATCTGTTCCCACAGAAGACTTAAAATTAATACACTTGTGCAGATGGTAGCCATATTAATCATAATCATGGCCAAAAGTACATTAATTTATTGGAGGAGTATCCTCTAGTAAAGGGCTCAGAGATGACAAAAATGCCTTTCTGTAATATAAGTCTTCTATAGGAGTGTACAATGTTCTTACTGCCAAAAGAGGCTGGCAAATTTTACTGAAATATAAGCCCAAGACTTTATTTATTTCAAAAAGTCAACTGAGGAAGAGAAACATCATGAATGAAAATGCAGATATCTGTAGCAAGAAAGAGCCACAGATCACATCAGGCATTTGAAAGGTCTGTTTTCACATCATCTGAACATTCTGGGAATTGAGAAAGTAGTTTAAAGCTGATCAAAGTCATTAACACAGTGATCTACCTTGAAGCAATATTTACAATGTGCACCGAATTCGATTTGACACAATAGGGTACTAGAACACACAATACAGCAACATGATATAATAATGTAACTACTTTCTAAAGCAAACTGATTATAATTACAATAAGAGCCCACGTTTTCTCAGGGCACTTAACCTGATCAAATCAAGAGCAGTTTCAGACTGTCCCTCTTGTGTTTTAGGGGTTGTGTCCGACTGCCAAATTTCAAAGTTGCAATCAGCCTCCAGTGCTAATATTATGCGTCTCCAGTGGCTGTCAGAAGTCTAGCAGTACACTCAATAATTCTAAATAATCCATGAAAAGCACATAAAAGAGATTGGAAAAAATTCTATCATCAGGAAACTCAAAATTCTCTTCAAGGGCCATCACCTGACACTGAAGTACTGCAAGGATCTATAAATTGTAAAAGGACAGAAAACCACACCATTATTCATTAGCCAAGAGTGAAAAGAAAACAGCCTAAAAGTGGCCTCTCTGAAGAGCCTGGAAAGGGCCAGAATAAATAGTCCTACACGGGTATAAACCTTTGCCATCAGTAATCTGCAATTACAGAGCTCCTCAGATCACAACAGACTTACAACAGCAGTTGAGACAGTATTTCTAAACATTACTAAGAAGTCCGCGAATACAAATGTATGAATTGTCAGAACTCACAAAGCCTTAGAACGCTGCAACAAACAGCTTCAAAGGAAGTAAGTTCTTCTAGAAATTTGACTAAGGTAGTAAAAAAAAATAAGCAAGATACTTGTACTTGATTGCAAAGAAAGGGAATGAATCACAAGTTTTCAATGCCTTTAAGACTTCTGTACACAAAATTAATTATCGCTGGACAGCATTTTTAAGTGAATAATTTAATCAGTGAGACTTCCCAGTACTGTCAGAATCGTTTAGAGTTGTTTTTGAGGTTTTATTTAAATATTTGACATTTTGTTCAGAAGATCAGTTGCACAACTAAACCAATTACCCCTCTATGGGAAATCATAGCATGTAGGACTTCACATCTAACCTAGTTTTCAGAAATTCAAAGTATACAAAGACTTATTTATACGGCAACTCCATTTTAACATACATCTGCCAAAACGCTGTCACACACAGATCTTAAGATCTTAAACAAAGGCAAATGCACTTTTGGCAAATGTAACTGACACTAGGGTGATGAGGGGGTTGGCAAATAAAACAAAATCCATTACACAAAATGAAAACTCCAACCCCCACACTTCCATTACCTAAAGACAAAGTCTCCAAGCATTCTTGAGAGCTTTGTTCTGGCTTATAGCTTTGAATTCAAAATTTGAGAAGGAATTGAATGCCTATTCCTGCAGCTTCTCATTTGAGGTGTATATCCATCAAAGAACAACCTAACACACCTTGCCTGCTTTCCATGCTGTTTCTTGGGAAGCACACTCAGGTGCTGGAACACAAGTACAGCTTACATCTGTGTGTAAGCCTCTTTCTCAAACTAGATGGAAACAAAAACAATGCTGGTGAACACGTGAAGTAATCTACTTCTTCTTATTAAATGAGATTTTTTTTACCACCTATTAATTCTTACAAAGAGCCAACTTCAACAAGTTGACCAGAGTAAACACATGTAATTCTGCCTACCGTCAATTTCAACATGAACACTGTCATTTCAGTTAGAAATAAATCTCGAAGTGAAAAATTACATCCAAGTGGAAAACATTCTCCTGTTTTTGTACAGAGTACACTGAAATGCAAATTTTATCAGCTGCCTTGCTCAGACACCATACCTCAACTACTATTGCTAATACAGACATGCCTACAGATGAGGTGAGAAGAGGTCTGAGGATGGGAGGGGAAGTGGACGTGGGGGAAAACACATTTAGTATTATATCTAAGGCATATATTCAGAAAATGGGAATCAAAACTCCACCATGAAGCTCAAATTAAAACTTTAATACTCTGCAAGTGCTGTTAGAGATGTTATGTTTTTGTGGTGAGCGGGCTTTATGATAGAGCAACTTCAGACACATTCACAGCCATTTTAAAAAAACCCCAGAACTCTAATCTTCAAAAATGACATGAGATCCACTATCTAGACTGTGTATTACAGCAGGATCTAAATAAACTAGATGTTCTTAATATAGAACGTTTACACAAATTTCTTGGGTGAAATGACCCCACCTAATATTCTGAACTTACTGTGGCACTTCTGTTCAAATTTATAAACAGGTGATACCACCACAGTACAATAGAGCCTAAAATAATTTATACCAAAAATAGCACAAGTTTCATGAGTACCCAGATTTCATAAACTCTCAAATGCAGTACTCTAAATATAAATGTTTCTTGACCGAATTAGCTCTCAGAAACACTGTAAATGCCATCCTCTCATGCTATTTTTCATAGTCTCCAGAACCTGCTCCAGAGCTTCAATTCATGTCAGTTCCCAATTCTCTCATGCTTTTCCATCAGGATGTTTTTTCCACGCTATCCGTAAACCAAACATGGAGCACTAACACCCTTTTAGAAAGAGGCAACTAGCTGAAGATTTGCCTGAAAGCTGAAGTCTTGTCAAACACTAGCAGGGTTGTATCTATGTTATTGTAGTCTACTTGGCTTGATAAATTCTAGATAAGCATCCTTAAAAATCCTACTTGTACCAGCGCACTTAAAGGTTTAAAGAGCAAACAACTAAGAGAACTTCGGAGATCCAACACATGAATTCCACCACACAGGGAAAGCCAAGAGAAGACAGCTATTTAATTCAACTCCACATGGAACAAGATGGGAGAATGCCCATTAAAGCGACAACAGCCTGGCTCGGTACACTACATGTGAAGCACAGAAGTCAGTTTTACTGTTCATGGGGTTCCTAACGTACAGCGGGGAAAAAAAAAAAAAAAAAAGGATGAACTTTGGATCTAAGAAAATGCAGTCTTTGTAAGGTTAGGAGTCATACTGTACACGAGTCCCCAAAAAAACCCAAAACACAGAGAAGTGAGCAATCCAGCAGCGGGCAGGGTGGAGCAGAAGGCGGGACAATGACCTAATAGGTCTTTCTATCTTTAGTTTCACGAGGCTCCGTGGCCAAGAGGCGCCGGGATCCCCCGCTCTGCCTCCGGCCGTGTCCCCCCGCAGCGCTGAGCGCCCCAGCCAAGTTCTCCCGAAGTCGGCGCTGCCAGCAGGAATCCCGGGGTGAGGGAGCCGGCAGACAGGGAGCCCGAGGCAGCGCTGGGGGCAGAAGCAACGCTCCGAGTCATTTCTCAGCTATGAGCAACACAAGCGATCCGCGCTGCCCGCCCTTACCTTGAACACTTTACCGAAAGCACCATCGCCCAGCTCTCCTATGATTTCCCAGAACTCCTCAGGGTTCAAATCCCTCTTGACGTGCTCGTATTGTTTCTTCTTCTTCTCGCCGCCCAGCTTGAAAATCTTACGAAAGTTGAAGAAGGACATTTTGGCTGCAGCCGAGGGACGGGGCGCGCGGCGGTGGCTCCTGTGCCCGCCGGGACCACCTGGCGCGGGCGGCGATGCCGGGCGCGATTCCCACGCGGAGACCAAAGTCTTGGCGCCGCCCGGGAAGAGCCGTCACGGCCGGGCGCTGCGGGGAGACAACACCCCGCGATGCCCCGTACGGGGCCGGGCTCGGCGCTGCTCTCCCCGACGGGCTTGGCGGTCCCTACTCGGCCGGGCCGGTCACCATCGCGGCAGCAACAAGTGCCGGGCTCCCTCCTCGGGACGGGCGGAGGAGCCGGAGGAGGGGTCAAGGCTCCGCTGGGAGGGGGCAGCTGATGCGCGCCGGGCAGCGGGGAGCGATCAGGTCCCGCCTCGCAGGACGGGGCGGATGCAGGGAGGGGCGGAGGCTGCCCCGCTCCAGGCTCCCGGCCGGTATCCTCGCGGAGCGGAGTCCCGGGGTGGCACAGCGGCGGAAAACGACGCTTTGCTGCCGGCCTCTCTCCTACTCGCTCGCACCCTCGCCGTCTCGCGGAGCGGGGCCCGGGCGGCTCCGCTTCCTGCGGGGCGGCACCGGCAGCACCTCCGCCCTCGCTCCCGCCCGTCGCCGGCGCGTGCGCCCCGCGCTCCCGCCCCCCTTCCCGCGCTCCCGGAACCGCCTCGCGCCGCTCCCCACTTTCCCCCGCGCGTGCGCACGCGCCGCACCAGCGGTACGCGCGCGGCCCTCCCCCGCCAACGGCTCCGGCTCGACACAGGCGGGGGGAAGAGGCGGGGCCTGGCCTGCCCACGTGACGCGCCCGCGGCGGCCCCAGCCAATAGGAGCGCGCGGAGGCTCCGGGCGGGTAAGTCGGTGTCGGGCTCAAGATGGAGGGGGGCGCTTTCCCCCTTTTCCTCCCCCGTTACTTCAGAGCAGGATGGCAGCACTGGCGTGAGGATCGAGTGCTCGTCCTTCCCTCTGTTCTGTTTCCCTACAGTCTGCTGTGTGCTGTTATGGGAAAGGCGTGTGGCCGAGGGACCCCTTATCCTCTGGTCCCAAAGGATAGCCTGCGCCTGTCTCCTTGCTGCTCCGCTGTCCCGTACAGGAGGGGTGTCCCCAGCCCTGTGGCAGAGGGTGATGTTCGCTGGGCGGGGGGCAGGACAGCTTTCCCTCCGTGTGGCGGTGTGCCTTGAGTCCCCAGTGCTGCCGCGGGAGCCGAAGGGCCATGAGGGGCTCCCGCTGTGTGTTAGGTGCGCTGTGTGGGCAGGTGAGGCTTGGGCTTGGACGTGGAGCTCTGAGGAAAGTGTTGATAGCAAAAGACGACGTTGGAAGACTTCTTCTTTTGTTTGTGGTCCGTTGCTGTCTCTAAACCTGCTACTGGTTTATCTTCTGTCATAGCAGGGTGTGATGTTCCTGTGCAGCCCGTTTGGTATCTTATTTAATCACTGGGACAGGCCTGAATTTCCTTATCTCATAACCTACTCTTCCCACAAATGATTCCTTCTTCAGTCTGAAGTATAATTGTATTTTAATAGTTGTGTTGTGTACGTGCCACCAAATGTGGGGCGTTTCCTCACTTGAAAGCACGAGGCGTTTCCGTTGCCTGGATTGGGGGCAGTTAGCCGGCATGGGGACAGTTCGGGCTGTGACAGGCAGGAGCTCGACCCAGCAGCGGCTGAGGCGATGCTGAGACCTCGGAGACATCTGACAGTGAGACAAACACCCAGCGAAAATCGTGTAATGCCGTATCCTCGTATGAACCCGAGTACCTGCGGTTGCCATTCATTTAAGCTGCGTGATGAGCTTTTAAAGATCAAGCCTCTGGTGTGCATCATTCCCCAGACCATTTTATTGGCGTGACAGTAGTTTGCTATATAAGGAGGGTAGTCCGTGTGTGAATTCAGTAATAATAATGAGGCATTGAGATATCCCTGACAATAAAGCGTTTAAGGATCGAACAGTGTTCTGTCATGAGTCAATTTCTTTAAAGTGTATAAAATCAGTTTCACGGCTAGTCCCACCCTATGAATAGAGAGTCTTCCAAGTGCTCTTGCTAAAGTGATTTGTTGTAACAATCAGCGTTTGTTTTTCAAAAATAATATTGGGCTCTGTGGGTCCTTTGTACTGACAGCTTGGTTGCAAAAGGTAAAACTGTTAAGGAAGGTGTTAAAACCAAGACTGTTTATGTGTGTGAGGGCAAAAACGAGAAACAACTGCAATCCAAAGGAACTGTTTCATCTTCTGTGATTTGACTGTCTGGCTCCACCTATTAATTTCATATGAAAGTTTCATTCAGATAGCTTGAATTAAATGCAATAATAGAGTGTTACCAGCAGCAACTTAGCTTCTCATATCATAATTTTTAAAGTTAAATATATTTTTCCTCTCTATAATCTTTCTTTTGCCCGTTCAGGTGGGATGGTAGAGTTGATTTGGATATTAAAATACAATGATGGCTTAAATAATAATTTTCATTAATATTTTTCATTTAATATTTTGATTTTTACTTGCTTTCTGTTGGATAAAAAGTGCTTTGGGACTAATTTCTGTAGTTTTATTTAAACTGACTGTTTGATCGAGGATGGGAGGAAAAAGGGAATCCAAAACCATAGCATGAATTCCTTGTATATAGGCAGGATTATCTTTCTTTAGTCTCAGGGTTAATGGCAATGGAGTGAGGCTGGGGGATGCTTATGTGTGAATGTTAAAGTTTGTAATACCTGGAAAGAAATGCAAAACTAAAAGAAAATTTTTTAAGTTACATATGAACGAGTGAAGTTGAGCTGGCACTCCTGGGCTGGGATAGCAGGGCCTGGTTGTGCCTCAGCTCTGTTAATAAACACTGGGCTGAGCACAGTTCACACGCAGCATCTCTGTCCTGTGTCAGTCTGCGTGTGACAAAAGAGGCTCGCTCAGAGCAGAACCTTCGTGCCATCCTACCAATGACTGGATGTTAGCAGGTACTGCATGTGTGTTGCTTTACACTTGTATAAACAATCTTCCTGTTCCAGGGAGCTTTTAAATTCATATAAGATTGAAAATATAAGATGAAAGTCTGGCACAAGAAAGAAGCACTTAATCTAGTGATAAGGCTTTGCTTTTAACTTTTCCTTTCTTACTCTTGAACAAGTAACTCAAGATAAAACCAGGATATATGAAAAGGAAAACTGTGACTGCGTCTCATTTTTTTCCCTTGTTCTTTCACTCTGGAGTTACAGCTTGCCACTCAATCCTAAAAATAAACTCCATAAGGTGAAGGTTAAGTGCTAGTCGCAAATCCTTCCCAATTTGCTGTGACTTCCTGGTTTGGAAGAGGCTGTATGAAGCTGGGTTTTGTGTGTGTGGTTCTTTTGTTCCTGATAAGCAGGAGTTTTTAGCAACTGTAAATGTTTCCAGATGGTGAGGATAAAAAGGTGAAAGTTAATTTTATTAAAATTTCTCCTTTAGGAATTTAAAGTAATGCTTTTTGAAAATTCATTGCTTCCTTTAGATGTTAGAGGAAGATGTTAAAGATGTTAAAGAACTATCTTGATTGTGCATCAAATATACTGGCTTAAAATAGCTGTAAACTCTTTATGACAATCTTTTTCATCTCTTTGTGAATTAGAAGTCTGCTTTATGCTTTCTGCTGCTTAATATCACCATCCTTTCTCATTGACTCTATCACTTACTTGCCACTGTTCCTAACTCCCTCTAAGCTCTGTTTCTTTTAAACTGCTCCAATTTCTCTTAATTGAAAGTAAACATAAATTTAATTTGAAATGTGTTCTTCACTGCATATATTGCCCTTTCACTGCAGTCGTACATTCTGTCTTCAGTTCTTTCAAAATATTTAATGGTCTATTTTTATATTTTCTTGACTTTCTGTCAACCCACGCATTCACTGATCTCCAAAATTCTTCTTGGTGATTGAGCTCATTGAAGTGCTGTGAGGTCACAGGTGACCTGTTTGTGGTTAAATCTGAAGTGTAATTCTTGTTTCATCTGTCTTAATCTGTCTGTCACCTTTGGCACTCAGCACTGTCCTTTCTGTTTTCTTTAATCGATGTACTCTGTGTTTTTATTGATATTTTCCAGTTATACGGTGGCATTTTTTCATAGCCTCTGCCATTTCTCCTCTCATCTGTTCCCAAAGTTAAGGCTTTGTGCTGCACTGGGCTCATTTCAGTTCTAACCAATGTAGCTTCTACATCACTCTAATTAACCCAGTGCAGGGGAATGATCACAGTCCTGGTCTTGTGGCCACACTGTTTCTGATAAAGGCCAGGATGCCACTGGCCTTCTTGGCCACCTGGGCAGCTCCTGGCTCATGATCAGCTGCTGTTCAGCAGTGCCCCTGGGTTCTTTTCCTCTGGGCCACTTTCCAGCCTCCAGCCCCTCTGTCCCGGCCTGCAGCCCTGCATGAGGCTGTTGTGACCCAGGTGCAGGACCTGGCACTTCCCCTCATTGAGCCTCACACCACTGGCCTCAGCTCATTGATCCAACCTGCCCAGATCCCTCTGCAGAGCCTCCCTGGCCTGCAGCCGACCAACACTCCTGCCCAGCTGTGAACTTACTGAGGGTGCACTCGATCCCCTCATCCAGATCATTGACACAGATATTAAATAGGACTGTTCCCAGCTCTGGGCCCTGGGGACAGCCCTTGTGGCACCACTCACCACCACACTCTGGCCCAGCCCTCCAGGCAGTTTTGTAGGCAGCAAAGAGAGCCCCTGTGCAGGCCATGAGCTGCCAGCCTTTCCAGGAGAATGCTGTGTGAGACAGCATTGAAGACTTCTCTGAAATCCAGGTGGACAACATCCAGAACTTTTCCCTCATCTGGTCAGAAAAGGAAGTCAGGTTGGTCAGGTAGGACTTGCCTTCCCCCAAGCAGTGCTGCCTGGGCCTGGTGCTTGGTTGTCCTGTATGTGCTACATGCTACATACACAGCACTCCTAAAGCCTTTCTAATAAATGTCCCGTTGATAGAGCTGTGTCTTAGAGACTTCTCTTTCTGTTATGCAGAACAAAAAAGAGATTTTTTTTTTGTACTCAGTATTTTATGAACCTTTATGATATGAGTAACAGGAATAGTCCAGTCATACATAATAGAAAGAGGAAAAAATTATAATACCAGAGATTGGACACTCAAGAGCTTGCCCATATCTCATTAGCCAGAATCAATACTCAGGCTCCTATCAACAACCTGGGTATAGTACTATTTATTACATGGTTTGAGTTTTTTAATACCTTACTGCAGGACTAGTTCATCTAAGAATTGCCATAGAAACATGTGGCACTTGGAAACTACAAACCTATAAGGATATTTCTCGATGTTTGCAGTAAAAAAAAAATTTAGTATTAAAATGTTTAGGAATAGGATTGATCTAATTTTGGCTTCAGAAAAGCCTGTGTGTTTAATCTAAATCTGCCATACTTTTTCAGCAGTCAGTGGGGAAATGTGTCTTCATAGGGCAATTCACCTTCCCCGTTTTAAATACTTATCTTTATCACAGTGTTTGACTGTGTGAGGTGAGTTTTCCTGGTAACATATAATGGGAGTTCTTCCTACCTATGGAGACACCATTGCCAGCAGAACTCTTGGAGTGCGTTTCTCTTGATGTCAGCAACACTTCTGGGAATGATGACAGAGCAAATATAAAATTGCCAAATTACCTGAATGTTTCCGAGTAAACCTGTGATATTTTATTGAATAGACTTGATCTGAAATTAAATGGCAGAAGAAAAAGCAATAATATAAATATCAGAATTTGAATAAGGATCAGGTATTTCAACAAATAGTACAAGAATATTTCTTGCAAATATGGCATGTCAAAAGCATTCAAGTTTTGACATGCTGACTTTATTGAAGCTATAGCCAATTTTT